TCTGATCTATGGGTAACCATTATCCTGCAGAGCCTTTGATCTTCCTTGAGTCGTATGCTAATATTTCTCCTTGTTTCGCCAATATATTTCTGCTCGCAGGCGCCGCATGCCATGCAGTAAACTCCAGAACTTATCCAACTTATCCACCCTTTCATGTTGCGTCGGTAGACTTGTGAAGAGTGTTATTTTTTCCTTTAGGGTCACCCGAATATTCCAGTTACTTAATATTGGCTGTAGTATTTAAGTTAGTTCGCAGGAAGTTAGGCATATCCACTTTTGTGAATCCTTCTCCGTCCTTACTGTTCTTTCGTAGTCCCCGTTCTATCATCAGCTTTTCACAGCACGTATCTTTCTTTGTATTACTTCGCTTGGGTAGCCGTTGCTGATGAATATCCAAGTGAATTTGTCAAATTCTTCATCCCAGAATTCCGCCTCCGTTAAACGTAGGCTTCGAGTGATCATGCTCTTCATTATTCCTTTCTTTAGCCTGTAGTTGTGTTGAGATTGGAAATTGTGTATTATCCAGGAACATGACTACTTTCTGAACAATTTCTTCTTGATCATCCCATTAAAGTGAATCACTTCAACAGCCAGAAACGGTAACCGCTCACCTTCCTATACTTCCATCGTAAATTTAATTTTTTTTATCAATCTGGTTTATAAACTTCAGAAAGTTTGCCAGTTTTTCCCTTTCATGTGTCCAGATTTATTGAAAAATCAAATTCACGATGGGATTAAAAGTAGGTTACTGATTACCTTTACTGAATGGTTAAGTGATTCGCTCTAGGGGAACTTCCAAGAAGAAATTTTTCAGAAAGAATGCATGTGCCGGGATAATCCTCAAACATTTTTAACTACTATAGCAGAGAACTTTGCTCAAGTTGAGTTCACCAATGTCTCCCTGACGGCAAGACAAAGATGCGAAATCGTGTTCAACCCACTTTCGTAGGTAATAGAAATTAGTTCAAGATTTAGGATCGATTTAGTTAGGCTTCTCGCTCCGAAGGGTTCAAAAAGTCTGACTAAATGTCACAAAGCGTCCCGAATATGATAACTAAGCTGCTTCACAATAAATTGCTTAGATATGGGATAATAGTACAAAGCAGGATCAAGTTAACCTGGACAAATTTTGATGGTTCTGTATTGAAGGCATCAACTACTACATATAGTAAATCTGTCCTCAGTCCCTCTTGATTCCGAAACGATGGATCGCCTAAAGAAGAGCTTAATTTTTTTCCTAGGTAACGAATGAAACCTTCTTGATGATATTCCTGTGAAAGTTGTCATCATAGCGGATAAATATCCAGAAGAGACGAAACTGGAGATCGAAATGAAAATAATCCCACGAATCCTGGCACACCAAGAACAAATACACAGGAATGGATTGACCGATATACGCAAAAAAATTACAAAAAAATGACCAAATAGATCATTAGGCGGAAAAGGGAAGAGTGACGGTGGTAATGAATAGGATTCAGTACATGGAGAAAATGGAAAGTATCCTAGCCAACCGGAACACTCATCAAATATTAATAAATGATCCAACCATAGAGTTCAACGGGACAATGTAGGATATGCTGAAGGAAGTGTATATTAAAGGAGAAATTAACATATTAATAATTAAATCTTAAATTAAAAATTACACAAGACCATGGACAGCCTATGGACTACCGAAGATTAACACGGAAGGAAATCCGTTAAGATTAAGAGTCAAAAACAGGCATGGAGTAACAAACAAGCTAGCAAAATCCATTTGTTTGAAGCTTAAGAAAAGAAAAGACAGACTCTCGAATATCGTGAAGAATTCATATGAATCTTCTCGAAGGATCAAAACATTGGACTTTTGGGGAAAAAACTATTGGTAAGTCTCAACGTACACTCTCTCCTCATGCGAGAAGCCGGTAAGCGCCCTGCTGGAGATATTGAAGTAGGAAGAGAATATCTTGGAGCAAGAACGGATAAGGAAGGAGTGTTGAATACGACTGATCAATCTGAGAGTAGGGACCACATATTTTAAATTTAACGGCAGTATCTACGAGCAAATATTTGGACTACCGATGGGGTTTCCACTCTCCCCTCTGTTGGCAAATGTGTACAAGTACATGTTGGAAATGGAATTCGAGAAGTCACCACTGCAACCAAGAGTGCTTATGCGATATTTGGATGACTACTTTGCACGTTGGTCACATGGTAAGGAAAATCTAAATGAATTCCTAAATTTTATTGACCAACTTGATGAAAGAATTAAATGCAAAATGGAAGGGGGGGAGGATGAACGACTGCCCTTTATGGATATTGAAGTCATGCGCTCCAAAAGGACACTAATGAGGAGACTAACATAAAGAATTCATATGTGGGAATAATCCTTAATTTTCAGTCCCATCATAACTACAGAATGAATATTGGAATGCTGAGGAGTTTGATCATCAGAAGCTTTCGACTAACGGACAATGAGTTCTGGGATGAGGAGTTGGACAAACTGAAACGGATTTGCCTTATTAACGGATATCACAGAGCATTTATAGAAAAAAATGTAGAGGTGATAAAGGACGATTTCAACTTGGATTTTATGAAAATCAGATCAGGAATCAGGAGGGCGACCAAAAGTCGATATGCCTGCCTTCATGTGAACTGAACCAAAAGTTGCGACTGTTAATAAGAAAATGGAATATCAATGTGATAACAAATGAGAAGACAACATTTTTCACCAGTCTGCCGACGCAACACAAGAAGATTGACAAACTGGATTGCTCGGTAGTTTATCGCAGCAAATGTGGCAGCTGTGAGCAGAAGTATATTGATGAAATAGAAGGAAAAATCGGCCTACGAATCAAGAAACATCAAAGATTTAGTAGAATCATGGATACGGAAAGATCTGAAATTGCGGAACACATTGACGAGACCCGAAATCGACCGAAAGGTTGGTTGCATATGCTGAAAATACGAGAAAACGCAAGATCCCAGAGGACATCGACATCTTGACTGAAAGAAATTTAATGAACAAGAGACTTGAAGAGGGCAGGTTCAACGAAACGTTTAGATATTGCCTCGGCAAAGTCGAAGATGATCAGAAATCATTAGGATCAGTAAAAAAAGAGTCGACTGGATCAAGGTAATAACTTCAATTTTAGGAAAATAAATCACAAGGAGACCAGAAAGGAACAATCGGAAACCAAAAAGATGTCTACAATGAGCCTAATTAAAACAAGTAGAACCACAACATTTGAGGGTTGGCAAACAAGAGACTAGGGAATAGAGTTATAGACTTGGAACTATGGATAGAAACGCGATAGTTGCGGTGGAGACTAGACCTAGTTGGCTAATGGTAGGCATGTTTGGTCATAGACGTGGTTCATGAAGCAAATTCTTGACCATGTGAATTATTCGGGCTCTTTAGCCTCAAGTTAATCTCCTATCCAGATTGAGAATCCTGATTTTTTGGGGCCTTCTCAGCGAGACGGGAGTTGGCGCGCCATCAAATGCAGAGTGTGGGAAAAAACGCATCGAGTAGCACAGATAAGGTAAAAGGGATCAAGTGACACGCCTGAATCAGGGAGATAGGAGACGGATCATACGAGACAAGGACCTCTTGGAAGAGGATTGCGGAATAATATGGCATACTCAAATCAACATTCCCAGCACAAGGGTGCAAGGGGGCTGAGAAAGGCAGCATAGGGTGTGAAGTGGTTTCATACAATCTGCGTAAAACAGCAGATCATGGCATATTCAACTAAACACTTAAGAAATTGTGATAGTGATCGGTGATACGAAGATATAGGAGAGGTGAATAGCCCAGGACAGAAGGAGAGATAACACAACTGTTTGGCAGACAATTGGTCAAAGGGTCGTCTTCACTTGTCAATTTTCCGAGTTGTGGTGTGGTGCTAAGAATGGCAAGGGTCATGGAATATGCCGGCGAAACCTCTGGGAATGTACCAGGTCCACAGCCCAACTCTGTAAACTGGCATACATTCTATGGACTCCTGATAAGGTGAATTCCTCCAGGTCTTCTGGCCAATATGACCGAATTGCGAAAACAAGGTCAAACAACTACTAAAGCAATTAAATTTCCTATTCAAGCACTCCTCATAGTATTCGAGCGCACCCACTCCTAACTCCAGCTAGGTTTATGTGTGTAAATTAATACATTTGAAAGTAGGTCGCATTCCTACGAGTCAATATGCCTTGTGCGATCTATTGTGGGGCTAAAAGTATCCTTAAAGTGAATGCAAGTGTCGTGGGGGCATCTTCTGCATTTACCGGAAGTTGGTTGAATAAAAATTTAATTTTACATTTATTGGAGGTCAGAGGTTAGAAGGCTTTTTAAGGAATAATTAATAAGAATATAAAATTGCCCAAAACGGCCGCAGCCAAACTCACCCTCTAACATCCTCACGCCAATGAGGCCATCCACATTTATGCCTGAAGTATGCTTCGAAAGGTACATCAGAGCAGCTTCCATTGCATCCAGAATTGCATTAATGTTTTGAAATTTATTCAGTATAAACCAGTAGACATCTGTTTCGGGGGTACCAGCCAAGGCTGTGTTGGGGCCAGCTAGCAGGACCAGGCAGACGATGAGACAGATCATCTTCAGGTGTGATATTACGTAGCGCCCGGCCATTAGACTGTGGTCAAACCCGTAAACCTTTTTTTTCTGTGAAAGAATCCACTGGTACCTGACTTTGCCGGAAAAAGCAAATCGTATCACAAATACGTTCGATGAGCTAAGGTGCAAAAATTGTGGTTGTGAGGAAGCTTGTGCTGTATTCACAGTCATTTCAGTTCAGAGTTATTCATAATTAATTGCATGGTGTGTTTATGTTTCAGTCTAGCAATGGTTCCTGACAGACGACATGACTCGATATTTCAGGTAGATCTGGTAGATCCAATGGGGAGCTAGTGTGACGGAACTTCCAGTTTGAGTGCCTTATTTGGGATAGGATATGCTCCTAAGTGGTTCCTGTGTGAACTAAAAATGAAGGATGGAGCCATAAGGGAGAATTGCAACTCTCCAGCCTCTTGGCGACCCCCGCTGTGATTCGTGTGATGGGCTTAGCACTGGCTCGGATTGGAGACCTTCGAGTCTGGCCAATGGCGAGTTAGTCCAGAGCAAGCCTGGCTTTTGAAGCGACGTTGCAAAGATGAGCCTACGGGGTGGTAACAACAGGAGTGGAGTTTGAGGAAAGTGGGCGAAACCTTGGAATTAGTGCTACCGGTTGGGCAGAATGTGTGCAAGCGTGGGTGTTCCACTGCCGCCAACGAGCTAGATTATCCTGTCCTTCAGTAAGTAGCCAAGTGTTGGCAAGGGGACGACTTCTTTTGGCCAATGAATTAATTACTCATCTTCATGCCGCTAGAACGACTGCTTGGCTGCAATCAAAGACACCTAAAAGCATCTCTAGAATTCAGCGTTTGGCAGGGCAAAGAGGCAGGCAGACGAACAGGCCTAGAACATATCATGGGCTGATATTTGACCACAGGCGTTGTCGAGTCAGTGATCGCATTTGGATGCCAGAAGCTAGCTCGATTAAACAAAATCATAGTTGATAGCTGGACGACAATTCACTGTAATGATAGCCATGATATCACACCTTATCTGTCGACAATTCAGCTAAAGAGTTGACAGCCGAATTGCTACAATTTGGTAGCAGTCTTGGTCTTATTTGGGAATTGATCAGGACTAAGTAACCAATAGGCGGTTTGTCTGCAGATATCGTCGAGTGGCCAATTTATGTCTCATCATTTTCCTCTTAAATTAGGCTGGTTATTTGTAATATGAGATGTATTCACACAATTTCGTTTAAGGTGATGAAAGACTGGTACAAGACCAATTTTCCCACAATGATATGAATTGAGCTAACGTTTCCATTGAAATTCACATAGCCTGCTTTCCCAAATGTTGTTCTCATTCCGGTACCAGTGGACTGCAGTTTCGACCTCGCATCGGTCTTGTCAACACCCTCAGGGCAAATGTGAATTTTCAAGGAAGGCCAGGCCTTTTTGCCATATCATATTCTTTTGGTGGAGTTGTCGATGAAGCAAACGTATATCTGCCATCACAATCGACTACTATACTTTATTTTTCGAATAAAGTATTCTTTTTTCGTGTCTACCAGTAAATCAGTAATATGAGATGTATTTGTATATGTTTAACAGAGGACTTAGGCAAAAGTTTCACTGACACATATTTTCAGAATTTATTGGCGCGCTTAACGGCAGATATGTATTCGCCTCGGTCAAGGTGGTGTCGAATATGCCGTTCGCCTAGGCAGGAAAAAAGGAAATGTTATGGTTTCGTGAGGAGTACTCATGTGATTGAAGGAAAATTCAGCGATCACTATACGTTCTAGGGTGAATAGAACTCCTATTCAAAACTTAATGGTGGACTCTACAACCTGATTCGGCTGAATATCAAATTCATTGTGGAAAAAATCAACTATCAACCCATTTTACAATCCCATCTTACAATGACTGCCTGATGATTATCGTTCATTGTGAGGAGAACTGTAGGTTAGACTGCCTTGGAAGAAAGTAGAAGGCTTTATTTTGCAAGCGAACGTTGCTTTTTACTACATTCTTGAAATGGATTTCGATCAGAAGGAACTAAAGTGGCTGTAAGTCAAACCTGCTATTTACATTTTTGCTGAATTGTTGTAAGCATTATTTTATCGCTCCCGGATTTTGCAATTCTCTGAGGAAGTGTCATTCGGACATAGTTAATGAAATACTTTATCACGGCTCTTTCCAGAACTTAAAGAAAAGTTACGGGATTGGGAGGCGTAATCTATTTAATATAAGTTGTTTGACCTTGTTTTCACAACTTGGTCACATTGGTAGGAAAACTTAGAGGAACGCACCTAGCTTGGAGTCCAGTGTATGCATGCTCATTTCCAAAGTCGGAATTTACCACGTCCATGGTCCGAATTTGGAAATTATCATACATATAACGGACTCTGGAATAGGTGCGCTCCCCTACCAACCAACCAAGTTGCGAAAACAAGGTCAAACAACTTATATACAACAAAATGAGACTGCGACCACACAAAAAGCCACACCATCTTGGTCTTCATGTCTTCAAGTAGGCTATTTAAGTTTATAGAAATTAACTCTGGCTTAAGGAATGATCTAGGCAAGGTTCTCACTCCGGATGATTTTAAAA